TTTTAACGACTATATTGTGCACAACGGTCATATTGTGCCTAACGGCTAGATTGTGCCCAATGGCTAGATTATCCTAATCCTCTTATTGGGCCTGGTCTTAAGCTAAATTTGATTGGGCCTTGCCCAACTACGGGGCATGTGCCAGTCCAATTCAGAATAGGAACTATTAACGTTTAGCCCATTGGCACTTCTGGATATCGCTCCCCGGACTTCCCAATAATATAGAGGAATCTTCCTGCCCCCCCCCCCCCCCCCCATTTTATACTTGACACCCCGTTATTTCAATAATATTGAAGTTTCCCTTGTGGGGAGTCAGGACCGAAAATCCGGTAGTTGAAACAAAAAATTATGATACTGACCAAAATATCTGGTAGTGCATGCAAAATATTCGATGCACCGGATATATGAAAATATCCTGAATATTTGGGTATTATAAGCTTTTTGTAAAAAACCTAAAACTATCGGATATTTAGTCCATTATTGAAAATTCTGGTACTTATAAAAGAGTGCATAATTGAATGACTACAATTTTGTTGGCACTTTTAGATGATTGTGATTGCATCGAGCATATTGTGTGATCCATAATGACTCCAAAGTTGTATAAATAAGGTTCATGTGTTGTTAACTTGCATAACATAATACAATGCATCTTCCTCAATTTCTTTTCAAGGCAGAAGTGTACTTCAACAGGATGAAAACTCCCGTAGAGTTTTGGCTTCCGGAGGGTGCCACATGTATCGCCTCCTTCACATCCAAGCTGAGTAACAAAATATACAAATCTAAAATCAAATATATTAATAGGCCCCCACAGGAAATGTGATGCATATGCTGCAAAATTATAAACCTCGCCATTTAGGTTCACAAAAACCATGAGGTTATTCATAATGAATGTTATCATCTGCAAGCACTAAACATCATTTGCACCATGTGGAGGCGACAACATATCATCCGAAGGTACCCCCAACATCAAGATGAGAAGAACCATAATGTGAAGATACAACATGAGAAGGTTCAACATCATCTCCATGCTACCTTGGTGGGATGACGCGAGAGTGTGATATAGTAAGGTACCAACCCAAATACCCATCCACACACTCTGCAGGGAACTGAACCTCCACTACACGATCTCTAATGGCACGTGCCAAACTCATAATGTTACCACAAAGCCAACTATCAATTCCCTTATATAGAATAGTATGGATTAGTCGTGGAATGTCATGTACATATCCATATTGGCGTAGGCACCTCCCAGGTAAGTGTTTAGCTACTAACCCCTCCCATCACAAGTAACTAGAAAAAGCATAGTGTCATTAACCTCTGCATCCACTCTATGGCCTGTGTAGGGTGTCCAGATGACACCATCTACAATCAGTGTGTCAATCCTCCTTCTATAATCCATAACACCTCTCAAATGTGCATGTCTACTTCTTCATCTCTTAGCTCGTACGAACCTAACAGTGGTAGCAACAACCCATCTGTCACATATGGACGAGAAATGCTCGTATATCCAACACTACACACAATAATAAAGACTCATATAACCAAAAAATAATATCATAAATAGAACTAACATAATAATAAAGACTCATACCTAAAATAGACTCATATAACCGACAAGCTTTCGGGTTTCAAAAATAGTTGCCTCTCTAAGGGCAGAGTATAAAACCGTCAATGCAACACACCTTCATGCCTATCTACAATGCTCAAGGCTGTTAAACAGCCACATGTACTTTGCATTGATGTACACATGAGACTTACCCATTAAAATAATACATCTTACAAGATGTAGCATATATACGCCAACATATGCCTTATACATTCCTCGATGCACTAGCTCGCCATACCTATCTCAAAACCAAGGTAGGCGAAAATTAACACCCCTCATAAACTTAAACTCATCTATCACGTGCAACTCAGTCCCCCCAAAGTATTGTACAACTGTCATACGTGCAATGTCCTGACTAATGATAGGAGCGGTGAAGAAACTACCTGCCAATAAAATATGGAAGAGCGATGAGACGTCATCCAATATAATTGTCATCTCACAAAATAGAAGATGGAATGAAGATGTCTCCTTGTGCCACTGCTCAATAAATGATGTTGTCAATAGCTGGCCGTCCAGCATGGTTAGCAAACTGTCCACTCGTGGAAGGAGACCGCACTCATCAATTATCGCCTTTACCTCCAGTGGGATCACGACACCAGAGAACTTCTTTAGCTTCATTCCATGGGTGGGTACCTTAAGCGGAATCCGATCGTGTAACAAACCAAAGAAAAAAAGATAAGTTAATTTCAAAGTATCATTAATAAATTAAGTAACATCATCGACATATCATATACATACCTCTCTCTTCTATAACTTGAAAGCCACATGGTCCGCATATTTTGTGAGAACATAAGTGTCAATGGACCCATCAGGAAACCCCTAATTTGTGTGTACAAACGGGTCTGTTGAAGCATGAGCAATGTCATGTGTCTCAACAGGTGGAGTAACCTCCACATCATCAGTAGTTGGTGCCTCATCAGCAGTATGCAGATTAACCTCTATAGTCACTGCTACCACAACCTTAGAAGGATGAGGCACCTCTGCCGGATGGGGTACATCGGCCTCTACCACCATCTAAACATCGTCCTGAACTGGTGCAGATGGTGCCTGAACATCAATTGGCTCATCCTCATCATCTATCGTCCATCTAGTAGTAGATCTAGATCCTTTGCGTTGCATAGTGCGAGGTGCATGAAACTGAGCATGATCAACCAATCGCCTCTTGTATGGACCGATCGATGTCATTCTTCCTACCCTGAGATGCTAGTCCTCTACATCACCTCCCCTCTGTCTAGCCCCCGCACCATCTCTATCATGTTGTCGAACAGCTATCGTACCATCTGTGCCTCGAGTCTGCATTGAAAAAAGAAACGAAATTTTATAACCTTCCGGATTCTTCTAAATGTGCAGAACAAACAGAGTTTCCGGACTTTTTTAAATGCACGGTAAAAATGCATAAATATTTTTGAATTTTTCTAAAAATGCATAGCTATATTCGGATATTTCGAAAGATGCGGAAAAAATGCATAAATATTTTTGCTTTTTTTAAAATGTTCGTTTGAGTGTATGTATTTTTTTCCAATTGTTTTGAAAAATTCGGAGTAATTTATGCATATCTTCTGTATTTTTCAAAATAAACTACAAAACTTATGTATTTATTAGACATTTTTAATATATATATATATATATATATATATATATATATATATATATATATATATATATATATATATATATATATATAATTAAAAATACGATAAAAATTCAAATTGACTTGTCATCAAATACAAATGTGTGGTAGTATCTTTGAAAAATCCAAAAAATTAAAGATCTTTTATAAATATTCGAAATTTTAAAAACCTAAACATTATAAAGGTGTTAGGTATAAATCGGAGGATAAGAAATAGAATTTTTCACTCATATACCCTACAAAACACCCCCTAAATCCCAAACTACCCAACATTTCCCCATATATCCCAATCTACCCATGTTTGGGTTTTTTTTTTTAATTTTATACAAGGGGGCGCCATGGGGGTTGAAGCCTCCCTTATAATTTGTATGGGGGCGCCATGGGGGTTGGAGCCACCCTACAAATTATAAAGGGGGCGCCATACCCATTGGAGCCTCCCTTAAATGCCCTAAAGGGGGGCGCCGTGCCCCATGGAGCCTCCTTTAAACGAAATTTTCAAAATCAAAAATATTATAATTAATAGAATTAAAATTTAATATTATGTTATAAATATTAAATTCCAACATTGGTTCATCCAAATTTAGAAGAGTTGGTAACATTGGTTCATCCAAATTTAGAAGAGTTGGTAACATTGGTTCATCCAAATTTAGAAGAGTTGGTAACATTGGTATTTTTAATGATATGCGTTGTTACTCTAGAAGTATTTCAATTTGTGTATGTGGTAACCAAAAGTTGTTATAAATATTAAATTCCAAGGTTACACATTTTTTAATTTAAATGACAAAAGTAAATCTATCTAGAACTTGTTCCAACATTTGGACAATTATTCCTCGTATGCCCGGGAAGACGACATATTCCGCACAATCTTTCCATTTTCTCAGTTGTATCCATTTCAGTTGTAATTCGGGTGCTTTTTGGGCGGCCCTTTTTGTTTCTTCTCATATTTTCGTTGTGGTAGATTGTGTCTCCATGATATGTTGGCCAATAGTCCTCACTAGCTACCACTGGAAAAGTGTTATTGTAGATACCGAATAAGTTCACAACCTTGTAAACATCTGATAGCAGCAAGAATGGATCGTGACGAACACTGGAACATGCGGCAATGACATGTGAACAAGGCATGCGGAAGGTTTGAAACTTTCCGCAGTCGCACCAATTTTTATGAAGTTCCACCCTGTAGTGTCCCATTGGCCGACCCTCGTTGTGATCCATTGTCTCGTCAACAATGAAGCTGTAATCGTGACGATCAAATGGTCTGACTCGATGTGAGGCTGCCTTAGAAGTTTCATCCTTCATATATTTCATACTTGATTCGCTGAATAATTGCCCTGATTGCAAAACAGCGCTCCAATTTTTGCCTCTTGACGCAAAAAGTGAGCCCAATCTGTAATAGGTAGATCTTACCAACGCAGTGATGGGGAGGTTCCTAGTTCCCTTAAATACACCGTTTAGGGATTCTACAAGATTTGTGGTCATGTGACCCCATCTGCATCCTCCATCAAAAGCCCTTGTCCATTTCTCGACTGGAATGTTATCCACCCATCTTAATGCTTCTGCGCTCGACAATCTTATTTCTTCACGGTAATACATGAACGATGGTTGGTTTAAGGAATACCCAGCATTCACAACTTTTTTCCGGAGATTTCTGTCCTTAATGTCCCGCATAAAATTCTGGGCAATGTGTCTTATGCAAAAGACATGGACAGAAGGAGGATTGTGCCAACCATTTGCAGGATTGTTGTAGGCGCTCACAATGGAAGCATGTCAGTCGGAAATCAGACATAAGTTGGGTTGAGGAGCAACATGTGTTCTAAGATTTCTAAGGAAGAAACTCCAAGCTTCGCCTGTCTCACCCTCGACCAAGGCAAAGGCAATCGGAAATATATTATTATTTCCGTCTTGTGCAACCGCCATCAACAATGTTCCTTTGTATTTTCCATACAACCATGTTCCATCGACTTGAATAACCGGTTTGCAGAACGCAAAACCTTTGATACATGGTTGAAATGCCCAAAAGAGCCGAGAAAATATCCTACTTCCATCAACGCATGTTCCCTTAGGAGTGTATGCTGGTAGTGACTCCAATATTACAACCGTGCCAGGAACATATTTCTGCAGTGCTAGTAAAAACTGTGGAAGTTGATTGTAAGATTTTTCCCAATTCCCATATACATGTTCGACCGCTTTTATTCTTCCAATGCAAGCTTTCCTGTACGACGGGGTATAGTTGAACCGTGCAACAACATGAGAGATAATTGTGCTAACCTTCACAGATGGATCTACGCCCACAAGATGCAAAATCTCTTGTGATATCAATTGAGAGCTTAGTTTTCCATGATCTTGCCGATTGATGTTGGTTGTGCAACTATGAGGTGGGTCCATCGAACCTATCACCCAACAGTCACTTCCGATAGGACGCTGCTAACCGAAACTTGCAACCTTCGTTACGACAAACTACGACATAGCGTTTTGAGTCGTTCCGATTGATGTAAAAATCAACGAAGTTATCCATATGAAACTTTCTTATAGCTTTCATGCACCTTCAATTTCAAAACACGTTCAATTTCTTGAGACGGATTGTAGAAATAATCCGAGGAAGTATCGTCTCCACTGAATTGCAAGTTCGTCATGTGTTGGGGAGGACAATACACTTGATTTAATGGTACTGCCTCTTCATCTATCTCTTGCAGTGGAGTCATTGCTGTGTAGTCCCCAGTCCCGAACAGATTAACCATTTGATCAACCATGGCCTCTGGTGCTTCTTCCTCCTCGTCCACAACATCAACTTCGTCTATACCCGTTGTTTCGCCAACCTCGTGTTCAGACATATTTGTTGTTTTAGGGGGATTTTTTTAGGGTATTTGGGTGAAAAATTCGTGTTTCTATACAATGAGATGTATACTATTTTTTGCTTGAATGTATACATATAGATTAAAATCCCACGAATTAAATATTATTAAAACTATAAGGGGGGCGCTGTGGGGGATGGAGCCCCTTCTTTAAATTATAAGGGGGGCGCCGTGGGGGATGGAGCCCCTTCTTTAAATTATAAGGGGGGCGCCGTGGGGGATGGAGCCCCTATGACACGTGTTAAAAAATAACTTTATGCATGCATGCAGTAAGACAAGTGTACGAATTCATCTATCAATATTTCTACACATCAATCTTTTTTTTACACAAATTCAACTATCTCATTAATATCAATAAATATTACGACTACACAAATTTAATTTTTACCTATACAACCATAAATTCAAATTTCAAATTTCAAATTTCAAATTTCTAAATTTCAACTATAAATACTTCTCCTCTTCATTCTAAAAAACACATGAAATATATTCAACAATTCAAATTCTCCCAATATTTTCCACATATATTCACACTATAGAAGTCATGTCTCTGTTAACAATGGGTGAAACGCATCGAGGAACACCAAGCAACATCGCGTCGTATGTAAGTATTTCTACTTGATAATTCACAATGTTGTATTTATTCGTAGCATTATAATGCATTTACAATGTTCTAGTGATATGTTTTATTATTTTTTGTAACAAATACAATGTTCTAATGATATGTTTTATTTTTTTTGTAGGATACTCATGAATTTCGTACTCGTGGGCATAAATATTTCCCACATGATCCGTTAATTCAACCTTTTTTGGAGCGAGCAGGTTTTGGAGAGGTCGTTAAGATAACAAATTATCTCATTGATTCTAAGTTTATTTTGGATTTGCAAGAAAGGTGGCGACCCGAGACACACACATTTCATCTTCCAATAGGTGAATGTGCAGTTACACTCAAGGACACATACATGTTATTGGGTTTACCCATTCATGGTAAGGCGGTAAACGGTAAAACCAATCCTACCGGTAATTTCATAGGAGAACTCTTGGGGGTTGAACCAACCCCACGAGATTTGAGGGGACAAAAAATTTTAATGTCATGGCTCAAAAGAATTTATAGAGACTTGACATTAACCCCCGATTCTCCTGAAATTCTAAAAATTAGAAAAACCCGAATTTATATAATGCTATTAATAGGGTTATTTTTATGTCCGGATACAAGTGGAAGCGCCGTTCACTCTATGTACTTACCTTTATTAGATGACGTAGATAAAATAAAAACATATAGTTGGGGGTCCGCTACACTAGCGCACCTATATCGGTCTTTATGTCATAACTCAATAGCCAATACCGGAAATTGGACCAGATGTGGTGTTCTTCTAAAATCTTGGGGTTGGTCAAGAATGACCAATCTAGCACCTATCCAACAAAATCAGTTTGAATTCCCATTCGCTAAAAGGTAATTACTTTTTCCAATTCTCATTTATCTATCATAGTCTTTTTATTTATTAATCATATTATTAATAAATTTTATTGTTTTCGATTTGTAGGTGGTCTTCGCTTGGAATGAATTATGACAATTGTCCCCACTTCAGTATAACGCAGTACCAAAATCTTATTGATCACTTGGCGCAAGAAGATGTAAACTCACTCACCTACCTATTTATGTTATACTCTCCTTGAATATTATTAGAAAATACTAAACATTATTTTTTTCATCCTTCAGTTCATTTGGCGGCCGTATCTTGGTCTAGAAGCATTTCATCAAGTTGAACAACAAGAGTCTGCGGTGTGGAGTGCAAAGGTGCCCATTATCAACTTCACCACCGTCGAAATGCACAACAGTGATCGTGTGAAACTTCAATTTGGAATGCTTCAAGATATTCCATGTCCCCCAAAGTGCATACCTGACAAATATCACAACGGTAAAGTCTCCGACCAATGGGAATATAATCCGTGGACCAAGTATGCAAAACACGAGTGTCGTGAATGGAGGCATCGCAACAACTATGTTTTGTCCGACAATGTGTTTCCATACGAGATGAAACAATCTATACAATACATGACTTGGTATAAGTCTGTATCAATTGGTTTCATTTCACATCCAAGGTATCTTAATGACCCACGCCAACAAGATTCATCATCAGAAACTATTATTTACAAAATTATTATTTTTAAAATTTTTTTAAATTATTAAAAATTATTTATTAAATATTTTTAAACTAATTAAACATTAAAAATAATTTTGAAAATTTCGTTTAAGGGAGGCTCCAATGGGTATGGCGCCCCCTTTATAATTTGTAGGGTGGCTCCAACCCCCATGGCGCCCCCATACAAATTATAAGGGAGGCTCCAACCCCCATGGCGCCCCCTTGTATAAAATTAAAAAAAAAAACATGGGTAAATTGGGATATATGGAGAAATGTTGGGTAGTTTGAGATTTAGGTGGAGAAATGTAGGGTATATGGGTGAAAAATTCTAAGAAAGATTCATCAACTATATATATTTTTTGTTGATCAATCTTTCTATCATCCAACGGATTTTTTAATGTAATTATTAAACAATTAATTAACTATAATGATGATGTACACCATTGATCTATAGTACTTTGACAATTGTTGCATGTTTCTTTGTCGGGTTTGTGTATAATTTTATCAAAACACATCTCTCTGCTAGGTTAATCCAAAGTTCTGCTTTTTGTCCTTTACTCATTGATTAACACAGCTTTTAACATTTGATTCTCTGTAACATGTTCTTTGGTAGGTAACAATGTGTACTATTGGTTGGCCTAATGTCAAAAAGTTAAACAGTTACGGATAAAGCAGTTCAAAATACAATAAACAAATTAGGTTAAGTAAGATTTCAAGCAAAGTCTAATTACACTTCCTAAAAAAGAGTAATCATATTTTTTTTTCTCTTGTTTTGTCATTTGATTAGATTAGATTCCTTTCAAGTGTCTATTATGTGCTCGTGTAATGTTTAATGGAGTACCATGTGCTTTTGATCTGGTTTGTCTTTGTGTGCTTTATGGTTTCTTGTAGGGGTTTAATGATGATCATTTTTTTGTTTCCTCTACAGTGTCTGGTTTCTAACTGTTTTATTTTAAGATGCTTTTCTTTAATAATTAGGTAGTGTTTGGCTTGACATAATTTAAACATTTCTTCTCTAAAGGATTTAAAAAATTTGTTTGAAGAGATTAGTTACTATACATTATTTTACACTATCAATTTAATACCATTATCCGTTAGTATTATTCTATAAATTGTTAAAATAAAAATAATTTTTTTTATTTTATTTAACATCTGTAATTAATTGACAGTATAAAATTATTTTATACTATCAATGCATTTCAATTAATTCCTTTGTTTAATAGTTTTTTTAAATATGATAATTTTAATTTTAAACTTGAAAATATTGTGAAATATGTTTTTAAAAGAGAATATTTTTATCAAACAACTTAAATTTATAAGGTCAAGTGACCTAAGACAAAGTATTAAAATTAGTCTTATTTTGGGTCATCAACCATCATTAAAATATTTGATTTTTAATTTTGTAGAATCAGTTCAGATCAATTACTAATTATGCAACGACAAAAATGAGTCTTACTTTGGCTCATCAAGCGTAATTAAAATATTTGATTTTTAATTTTTTTAATCAGTTTAATTATTAATTATGCAACGATATTGAATTTTTTATTTAAGATAATCATATTTTTCATTTAAAATATCAAATAAAATTTAAATTTAAAAAAAAAACTAAAATGACTACCTTTCTATGAGAAATCGCCATATGAAATGGCTGATCAAGGTCACCCTGACCTGAGTCGCCATTTCATATGGCGTAAGGGTATAAAATTGAAACCCTACCCTACACTGAGTCGCCATACCATATGGCGCCTCAGTTGTAGGGTTTTTTTAATATAAAATTTAATTTTTTGTTAAATAAAACATATAATTAAAAATAATAATAAAATTTGTTATTTTTAATATTTTGTAAAAAAAAATATAATTAAAAGAAATAATAAATTGTAATATTTATAATATAAAAAGCTTCAATATTGTACAACACATGAAAAAAAGGAAAATCATCAAAATGACCACCGATACCACATTGGGGAGGATTCACGCGGTGTCGATGTCTACCACGAGGTTGTTGAGGTGTATCTGGTCTATGCGTGTTGACCTGTGGAAGATGTATTTGTTCAAATGACCCCGACGTATCAGATAAATTTTGAAGCATTTGACCCCAATAGTCGGGCGGGTTGCTGCCAACGACGCTTCCGTAATTAAGTTCAATACCCATGTTTTCGTAGTTTTGTCGGAAAGGTTGGGTGGGGTGTGGACGGTATGGTTGTCCGAATTGGTACATCGAATCAGTTTGGAAATGATGTAATGGTTGTTGTAGGGTTTGGTAGTCAAAAAGTGGATAAGTATTTTGTTGGTAGGAAGATTGATTGGCTGGTGTAGGGTCAAAAGAGTTATCTGGGCTATAGGTGGATGGGGTAGGGTCAAAAGGTGTATCAGGGTTATATGCAGAAAT